ATTGAGTTCTGTAAGGAATCTCTAAAGTGTGGGCAGGGAGCCACTGTGATCACAAATCTATCACTTTTTTACTGAAGCTAGTCCTCAAACTCCAGCACTGCATAGCACGGGCAAGCCTGACCAACAAATAACAAGTTTACTTTACTTTCAAAGTACTTAAGTTGGGGCCTCTTGGTCCAGCCTTCACTGTTATCTGGATCTCACTGTACAAGCCAAATGGCCCTTTGAGAAAAACATTATCACTGCCTATACACGTTCCCAAGTCTTTCAAATCATCTTTCTTAGAACCTGACAGACTCAAATTTTCTTTTGACTACATATCCCATGCTCTCAAATCATCACAGTTGGAGCAGGGAAGGGTGAGCAATGAATGAGTTGGAGCTTCATCTAGATGTGACAGAGAGATCCTGTCTTGATGGGCGAGATATAAATTCAATAAATAAATTCAATAAATAAATAAATACATAAACCAGATAGTCTTGATGCCTTGATGGAAGTATACAGGTGGCCTTGGCTATGAGTCAGGACTGTAGTTTGGAGTCCTTCTGTTTCATTACTATCTGAGGATGCTGAAATGTAGCTAAGCAGATATTGGAAATTGCCAGGCCATGAGACACCAAAGTTACACTTATTTGTATTGATTTCCATGCATTTTTATATTGAGTTCACAAATACCAGTTTTAGCTTTTAAAGTCTTAAATAATTTGTTACTAGGCTACTTGAGAAAGTAGACAGAATAATAAGGGGGTCCTTGCCCAGAGGAGTACCCCCTCAGGACATTAGAGGTATGGTTCAGTTGAACTGGTGTGGAAGGAATGTCCCCATTAAGGATACTGTTTTGCTGTTTGGGAGTAATTGTTTAGAGAAACAATTTATTTTTCCTTGATGACTCTAGTTCCAAAACTGAAGTCTTTGTATTACTCATGTTGGAATGCAAACTTGGGTCTGTCAAACAATGTAGGGCCAACTGACACCTTGCTAAAAGAATGCCGAGTGTCATTATGCTCCAAAAGAGGCAAGGGAAAAACAGTTACCATTCACTACTAAGATTCATGTGAATTATCCATATGGCAGCAGGTCCTACCACCAGTGGCTTTGTTACAGTTACTGTAAATAGATCTTACTGGAGGTTCCTGGTTGTGAGAGGTGAATTACAAAGTTCTTCTACGTGGCCTCTGTGAATCCACACAACTGGGTTTAAACTGCGCTTGCGCTGGATTCTCAGAATATTCTAGAGCTTAAAGCAAAGAAATGTTAGTAATACGTTGCCCCTTAATACGCATGCTCTGCCCACCCAAAGCCTCAGTTCCTTTTAGCTGCCGTCACGTTTGGAACCTCCTTGCTTGAGCTATTTTCTCTATTCGGATTTCGATTTTTGGCTACGACTTTGTTATGGATTTCTTTACTTCGGTTTTGTCGTTGGACTGTTGTACGTTGCTCTCTGGTTTGACTCGGATTGTTTCAAGTTTCCCGCCTTTTCTTCACAGACTACTTATTATATAATTCTCTTGGATTGACTCAGACTGGTTTTTTGGCTACATTTCCCGCCTTTTTGTACATGGACTATCCTCTTGGATTGTTTGACTTGGATTGGATACATCCACCCTTTGATTAGCGATTTTAACTTGTTTGCACCATCCACGAATTTTGATCGCCATACCGTGAATAACTTGTCTTATCTTACCTTGGGGCTTCCCGGTTTACGGTCTCCTTAGGTCTTTTTAAGTGGTGTGTTTCTTGTAGAGCTAAAATTCCCTTTACAGACGGTCACGGCCACTGTCTGTATTGTTTGGGGTAGGAACATCAACCCCATGCCTGCCTACAGTGCAAAAAACTCTCAAAGCCAGCATTGAAATCCTGTGAACAGAGGCTCTAGGCTTCTTTGGAGTAAATCCCTTTTCCCTCCTAAGCACACCATGGACCAGATTCCGTCTCAGACACCTTCCACCCATACTGAATCCATGACACCATCATTACCATCTAATTTTTTGCCTAAATCTCCTTCGAAGTCCTCTTAAAAACCTACAAAGAAGTCTTCGTCTCTTCCCTCTGATTCGACGTTGAAGCATGCATCGACAGAAAGCCTGAAAAAGAAGGTTTTGGAGAAGTCCAATAAAGGCAAGAAGGGCAAGCCCTTCAAGGACAAACCTCATGAGATACCACCAAACTCAGAGTCAGTGCCTTCCCCGATATTGGAATACATGCCTGATGACTATATTTCTAAAGGGGACACTTCTGCTCAACATTGAGAAACACAGGCTTTGGCTTCAATACTAAACCTTCCCCAGACCCCAGATCATATGCAGGTTGATGTTATCTCTAGCCATGTTACTGCCCATTCTAGCCCTGTATCTACCGGGCGAGCAATTGTTATAAGGCAGTCGAATTCAGAGGAATCCTGGCACCAGGCATCACCTAGGAAGAAGACCGTAAAGAGAAAGCACATTTCTCCTCTACGATGTCGATCATCATGTCAAGAGTTTGTGCTGCTACCTAGATGCTTTTGACATCGGGCCGCTTCTGATTATGACAAACCATTTTACGTTGAGTTCAGACGAAGATCTAAGCATCATTGATATCGAGAGGACTCCAATGTTGACCCATATTATGAAATTGAAGACTATGGCAGGCATAGAAGGGTTACATATGTTTGGAGAAAGCTAAAAAACCATCTACGAAGCTTTTATATGCATAAAAATGGAATAGTTCCCTAAAGTTTACAGAATCAAAAAACTTATGTCCTGTGCCTGTATCTATTGATACTCTTCTCGCATATTTACGTTACCTGTTTAACCAAGGTTTGGCTTTTTCTATCCTTAAAGTCTACATTTCTGCCATCATTTCATACCAGCCACTGGGATCGGAGGCCTTCCGTTTATTCTCACACCCTACTCTGAAGGTGTTCTTGAAAGGTTTACAGCATATACGTCCACCTACCCGCCCTCCTCTTCCTCAGTGGTCTTTGCATGTAGTTTTACAAGCTCTTACACGTCCACCATTTGAGCTGATGGCTTCTTCTGACTTTTGATTCTTAGCCTTCAAGACATTGTTTTTTCCATTGTTTTTTGTTGCAATAACCTCCGCTAGAAGGGCAAGTGAGCTCACAGTGCTTCGGGCTGATGCACCTTGCCTTCCTGGATAATGTGATTATGTACCCAGATGTCTCCTTTCTTCCCAGAGTTGTTTCTAGTTTTCATGTCAATCAACCATTAGTTGGTTGTTGTGGATTTTTCGGGCTTCTTGGCCGTGTTCTGAAAGTGGTTCTTCCTAACGTTTCGCCAGTCTCTGTGGCTGGCATCTTCAGAGGACAGCAAACTGGCATCTTCTCTGAAGATGCCAGCCACAGAGACTGGCGAAACGTTAGGAAGAACCACTTTCAGAACACGGCCAAGAAGCCCGAAAAACCCACAACAACCATTAGATCCCGGCCGTGAAAGCCTTCGCGAATACATCAACCATTAGTTCTTCCTACATTGTTTCCTAATCCTTCTTCAGACGTTGAGCACAACAACTCTTTAGATGTTTGCCATGCTTTGGCTTTCTGTACGTCCAGAACAAAGGACTTTCGCACCTCTCCTCGTTTATTTGTTTGCTTCCATGGTCCTCATAAAGCATGCTGCTTATATAAAAGCGTGCTGCTTATATACCGCCCCATAGCACTTCAAGCACTCTCTGGGCGGTTTACAATTTAATTATGCAGGCTACACATTGCCCCCCTCGGAAGGATAGAAGGCTGAGTCAACCTTGAGCTGGCTACCTGGGATTTGAACCCCAGGTCGTGAGCACAGTTTTAGCTGCAGTACAGCGATTTAACCACTGCGCCACGAGGCTCTCCTGCTGCTTCATAGACAATTTCTCAATGCATTGTATCTACAATTACTTTGGCTTATGAATTGTTGAGTAACCCCCCCACACACAGGTTCTTAAAGCACATTCTACAAGATCTGTGGCAACTTCAACGGCCCTGCTGCGTGGTGTTGACATTTCAGACATCTGTAGAGCAGCCCCATGGTCCACCCTGTCCACCTTTGTGACTCATTATCATCTGGACCTTGGGGCCAAAAAAGAAGCAAGTTTTGGGAGAGCTGTGTTTACATCGGTACTGGAGTGATAGCCCACCTTCCAGCTTGCTAGTCACCCAGTTGTGTGGATTCACAGAGTCCACGTAGAAGAAAGAGTGGTTGCCTACCTGTAACTATGATTCTTCTAGTGGTCCTCTGTGAATCCACACATCCTGCCCAGCCTCTCCGCTGTCCATTACTCATGGTCTTCGCCCTAAAGCATTGACGACAATGGACAAGTGGAACTGAGGTTTTGGGAGGGCGGAGCATGCGTATTAAGGGGCAACTTACTACTAGCATTTCTTTGCTTTAAGCTCTAGAATATTCCAAGGATCCAGCACAAGTGCAGGTTAAACCCAATTGTGTGGATTCACAGAGGACCACTAGAAGAACCATAGTTACAGGTAGATAACCACTCTTTCTCCATTAATGCTTTGGTTAATCTCTGATCTGAACTCTCACTCATTTCTTCTAAACTTCTTGACAGCTTTTTTGGTGGTTAGTTAAGGGCAGGCAGGCTGTAGAAACTGCCTTAATGGGGAAACCAAGAAAGTTATTGGCACATAATATCTCAGTACCATTGGAGAGAGCTGCCCCCTAAGAAATGAGGGTTTTTTTAATTTGGCACTTCATGGTTTTCCTGTGCTGTTCACCCAGTACAGCATAAAATGGTTTGGAAGATCAGTATACTTTTTGAAAATAGGAGATCTGTATTTCTAATATAGATACATTAATAAATTTTTCCTCTTTTCCCAGAAATAAGATTACAGATATTGTGGTATGACCTCATGTTGCAAATAAACTATTTATCCTCCAGTTCAAGATCTGACACTATTTCTAATCTTTTGTTCTGTACGAACAGTATAATGAGGGATTATCTGTCTGTTTTTACTGTCAAGCCTGATTCTGGCCGTCGATGGGTCTGTGGTTTTCTTGCAGAATTGTAGAGATTGCCGCTTGCCACTCCACTCACACTTCTGCTGCCAAGACACAGAGTGGCCTGGTGTATATGTGGGGTCAGTGCCGGGGGCAGTCAGTGGTGCACCCCCATGTTACCCACTTTTCTTGCACCGATGATGTGTTTGCTTGCTTTTCTACTCCAGCTGTGATGTGGCGTCTTCTCTCAGTAGGTGAGTACTTGACAAGGATAAAATAAGGCAGGCAGTCTGTGGTCCTGCCCACATTGTTGGGCTGCATCTCTCCTCTGCCATACAATGGTAAAATAACATTTGGAGAATCAAATTCAGCCTATCCTTGTTATACAAGAAAGTCTATTATTATCATGGTGAGGAGTATTTCATGATGTTCATCAAAGGGTAAAAAAACAAAATATGTTCTGAGTGAATTTTCCCATTTTCAGAAGCTGGGTCTGTTGTGTTGGCCTTTTTCAATTAGTGTTCTCTACCCATTTTTCTTACAACGGGTAGGGAACACTACATATCCATGAAATCCATGTTGATGAAACTGGTCTCTGCGTTAGAAAGAATGACAATGAGCAAATTCAGTAGGTATCCCCTCCCCCACATAGGATGGCATGTCTTACTGGGATGTTGTAAGATTGGCAAAATATGGCAGACTTCAAAAATGCACTTTATAGTGTTTCGTGTATTAAAAAAGTATTATTCTCTTGTTGTCCCTTATCCTCCTCCAAAGCAGATAAAAGCAGTCAGGAACAATGGAATTTGCTCCTTTGTTAGTATGATTTGAATTTGGATGCTTTGTCTTCTCTAGTTTGTTTCTTTCCCCTGGAAAATGCAGAGAAATTAAATCTAAAACAAATAAATGTGATATTTACACAGTGTTTTAAAATTGTTTTATCTCCTGTCAGCTGAACTGGGTCTCCTGTGAGGAGAAAGGCAGTATATATAAACAAATAGCAATTGCTTGTAACTCATGTGTTAGGGTCCCCTGCTGTTTGTGTTGTTCATGCAAGACATGGGCAAAACCTGGCCTGGAATGCTGTTTTACCTGCTCACAAGGGCATATGCTGGTAATAAACCAACCAACCAATAAAGCATGACTAGGTCTCTTGCAAAACATTACATTCCAGTCCCAGTAGCCAGAATTGAAGTTCTTGGTAAGCATGGGAACCATATTTGCGGATTCCTGCATGAAGCACTTGGTGCAGAAATCTAGATGAAATGTGTCAATATATTTGAATTGTAAATCCGTTCTTCTATGGGGCATGAACTTTAGTTCTGTTAAACAGAGAGTTGTGTCTGCACTGTATAGGTTTTTCCATGTGTAGCTTGTCCGTTGGTTTTAATGTGATTATGGATTTTTCTTTGCAGAGCATGAGGACTTCTTAACAGTGACAGAGTCCCTGAAGAGAGAATTTGACAGTCCTGAAACATCGGATCTAAAATTTAGAGTAGATGGAAAATTCATTTATGTACATAAAGCTGTCTTGAAAATCAGGTAATGTTTGTTTATAACCTGAGGGTGAGATATAATCTAGTGAATTTAGTCATCTGACATTTCAGAGTGAAATCATATTTGCACCATAGGCAGCTTTTTGGGGAGTTCCAGGAGTTTGCTGGGGTGTCCTTTGGGTTGGTGTCCCTTCTGCTGATGTAGTACCTTCTTTGATACAGCCCACAATCATGATATATAAGTTCAAATCCTCTCTTAAAAATACGAAATATGGTTTAGCACAGAGAAAAGGAATAAAATGACTTGATCAAATGTTAAATTCTTTTTGTTTTTCTATGCAAATTCTGGATGGAAAAGGTTAAGTTGCCTTGAAGTTCTTCATGGTTTCTGTTGCAGATGTGAACACTTCCGTACAATGTTCCAATCATACTGGAATGAAGACATGAAGGAGGTGATAGAAATAGACCAGTTTTCCTATCCAGTATACCGTGCTTTTCTTGAGTACCTGTACACGGACAACGTTGATCTTCCTCCTGAAGATGCTATAGGTAACCTTAGCTGAAATTATGGAAAGAGGAATGACAGATAAGGCGTCCTGGAAAATTGATTTTTTTAAGAAGGAAAGGAAAGGGGGAAAGAAATCCAGGAGTAGGCAGGTTCCCAATGGCACCCTGTACTTCACCGAGTGCACCTTCACCATGCCCTATGCCTCATGTTTGCATTCTTTTTACATGGGAGGGTTGAGAATAAAATATCATGCAAATACATTAATAGCTGTGGGTGCCGTTGGGTGTCTTGACTTGTCAGTCTTCAATCCTGGTCTGGGGTAGCTTAACTTTAGTAAATGGAAGTAGAGCAGCTTGCTTCAAGTAAACTGATCTGGGATATACGCGAAGCTGGAGTGTCCTCTCCAGAGCACGAAGCCTGGGTAAAATAATATGGAGGATAGACTGCTACCTAAGCAGGAAAACCCCCCTCTCCAAATCACTGAAATAGTCAAATGGAAACGCAAGAGCCAATAGAACTGGTTCCAGCAACATCGCAGGCGTTACCAGAACAGCACAAACTGCCTCTGGGACTCCAGGTCCGAATTTTACCTCAAGGTTTACTCCTGAAGCCTTTTCCATCAGTGGAAAACAAAGCAGTGGAGGTTTGAAATCGGAGTTTTCCTTCTCCTAGATGGGCTGCCTTCCAAGGCTGATGAGCCCTACCTACCCAGGGATCTGGGATATATGGCATATTGCTTAAAACGCCTGCTAAAATTTAAAATCCAACTCAGTGAAGTATTTGCTTTGCGGAAACAAACTTGCACTGAAGTCCCATTAATTTTAATCAATTTCTGTGCCAATACCTCATAGACAGGAATAAGCTGCTTTTTTGCTAGTGGAAAAAGTATTCTCAAATGGGGGTGGGGTTGCTTACTTAACTGTGTTCTGGGGTTGACACCATTTGTTGTTTAGTCGTTAAGCCGTGTCTGACTTTTTGTGACCCCATGGACCAAAGCACATCAGGCCCTCTGTTCTTCCACTGCTTTCCAGAGTTGAGTCAAATTCATGTTGGTAGCTTCAATGGTTGAGGCCAAACCTGTTTTCAAAAAGTAAGAATTCAGTCTCATCTGTCAAGTGACCAATGTACAGAGGAGTATTGCTTTGGTTCAATAAGATCAGAGAAAAGGATTTTTAAAATATGGCATCTTGATTTCAGGGCTTCTGGATTTGGCTACATCATACTGTGAAAACAGATTGAAAAAACTATGTCAACATCTTATCAAAAGAGGGATCACGGTGGAGAATGCCTTCTCATTGCTCTCTGCAGCAGTGCGCTATGATGCAGAGGTAAACTAGAGCTTTATCTTGTTAACTGGGAGTGGTTGGAGCCTTTTCTATTACTCTTTCTCCCTTTGAGCATAAAAGCATCCTGTAGTTTTACAGACTTGAGAAATGGGATATTACTGATCTATGCCTTCAACAAAGAGCCACAGGTTCTTCACAGAATCACAACAGAAGAAGGGGAAGGGAAATCTCTCTCTCTCTCTTTCTCTCTCTCTCTCTCTCTCTCATTCTATGTTCTCTATCAACAAATCTCTTGTAATATTGATTGAAATGTTCGTAAATTATTTTATACAAACTTGTCAAAATGTAGTTTAAAATGACCTTGTGTCCTGCCTTACACAGGATAGTCCTTGAGGGGCTATTGGAGGGATAGACCTTCCTGTGATGACATCCTGAGGGGCAATGGTTCCCAGCTGTGGGTGAACAGGGGTTCTTGGACTACAATTTCCAGAAACCCAGTCCAGTCCATCTGGAGGTGAAGGTTTCTGGGAACTGCAGTGCAAGAAGACCTGGGTTACCCAGTTAACCACTGCTCAAGGGCTACCCAGCTCAAATGCAGTTCAAGTTATAACCCTAAGCAGGTGCCTTGAATTTCCCCATCAAAAGTTAGCACCTTGTCCCAGAACTGTGCACCTAAAAACAGGTCATTCATGCTTGCAATGCTGAATTCTCTCTTAAATTATGGTAATTATAAGCTGCTTACGTAGCTCCTTAAATTATGGTAATTATTTCTGAATTTGCATTTGCGCGTAAGCATCTACCACCATCCCACTGACTTTTTGTTATTTTGTGGGTCGAGTATGTAAGAACCCACGTTCTGTGTCAATAATTCTGTGGACAAAAACACCACCATTCATATACAAGGCTGCAAACTTTGCAGAAAGGAAAGGTGGGGAGACTGAATCTGCTCACAGAACTGAATAAAAACAGAAGAATTCCAGACTGCTAACATTGTCCTTCAATGGTTAGTACTGGTGAAAAAGCAGATGCTATAGGAAAATTATAACTATTTGATATGTAAAAATACGACTCCGAATTCCAGTGCAGTCTAATCAATTCCAGACAGCAGTTGTTTTGAGTATTTAAACGTACATGGTGCCTCGCTTAACGGGCACCCCGTTTAATGACGAATCCACATAGTGATGAAGATTTTGCAATCGCTTTTGCGATCGCATTGCGATGTTCCCCATAGGGAAAAATCGCTTTGCGATGATGGCTCCCCCCCCATCATCGCAAATGGCCCATTTTTGCACAGCTTGCGATGAGGGGGGGAAGTGATTGTCCCAGAAAAGAGCCGGGAGCCATCTTCTCCGCTCCAGTCCCTCCCCCTATCTGCCTTACAGCTGATCAGCGCTGCTCTTAGAAGCTTCCCCAGGCTTGCCCAGCAGGTAAACAGGCAGTGGAAATGCACTGGGGAAGACTCTGAAAGCGGTGCTTTGCCAGGGTGGGGGTGGCTGGGGG